TTTTTAGAAATAAATATGAACAAAAAACAAGGTAACAAAGTAGAGAGAAGCAAATCAAATGGTGAAAACATGAAGGAAGTGAAGAATGATTTGTTTGAGAGAATAGATGTGAAAAGGCTTCATTTTTTTTGGCTTTTTGGGTAAAGAGAAACAGAGAGTTGGTGAAATGCAAAGAGCAGTAGAGTGGCAGTGGAGAGCAAAACAAGGAGACAGAAGAGCTTAGAGGCTAAACTAAACCCAGGAAAATTGAAGGCAATGGAGAGAGGATTTTGAATCTCATTTTTTGAAGGAAAGAGAAAGCAAGAGATTGCGTAATGGTACAAGGGGAAATTAAAGAACGGAGTGGAAGGAGATGAGGACTTCTGCTCCTGGATCTTGATTAAGATAAAAAGGAAAATGTTTATCGCATCTTTCAGTCTAACACGTGATCATTTTTGTTTGTTTAAGGGTTAATGCAACTATCGTCCCCCTACCATTGAAAAAAATTCAATTTAAATCTTATATTATCGATTCACCTCATGTTCTCTTTTTACTATTAAAAAACGTATTAATGTCATCCCTCCGTCCATTTTAGGGGTAATCGACTATTGGTTAACCGTTAAATTGCAGACGGAGGGACATTTGAGACCTTTTCAATTCTTTCTTCTTTCAAAGGATGGCCCCACCCATGCCACATCATCTCATCATCTCCTCATCTCCTCATCTCCTCCTTTTCCCAACATACTCTTAGGGTACTTGATTAGGGGAAACTTTTTCCTTTAAATTCTTTTAAATTTGTTTTTTAACATTATTTATATATTTTTATACATTAATATTATAATAAAAAATAAAAATAACATTTTAAGTATTTATTTTTTTACGCAATTTTACTTTTCAAACTTTTCTTCCTACATATTTTAAAAAACAGTTTTTAACTTTTCCTATATTAGGGTTACTTAATAATTTTTTTTATTAATTTTTTTTATATTAATATTTTAGCAAACACAATAAAATTAAGGGGTTAGTGCTTGTTTGCCTTACTTTCAAAAAATTAGAAGGAAAAAAGACAAAAAATTAAGAGAAAAAAAAAACAAAAATCACGTTAATGCATGCTTTAAAACTATAGTAGTTTAATCTTTTTCAATAAAAATTTATTGAAACGATATAGTTTTAAGACGATTCTCCTCCTAATCTTAGGAGGAAAAGCTGACATGCACTTTTTCCTAAAATTAATAACTTAATAAAAATTTAACAAAATTTTATTACAAAACTTAAAAACATTTTATACAATAGTTTATAGGTTTCTATATAGTACTTTCTTAACTAATTTCTCAATAAAATCTTCTCTGATAAAGTAATTTTTCAATCGAACAAGTGTTTGGTGTAGTAATAAAACTACTGTTGTAGCTTATTATTACCTTAAAAATATATTAAAAAAGAGAACAAAGTTAGGTCTGGAAAAGAGAATCAACACACGTGTCATAATAAAAAAGGATTAATTAAAAAAAATGAAATAACTCATTTGATGTCCATAGTATAATAAAAAAAGAGTTTTTTCCCTCATTTTTAGTAATTAATTTGTACTAAAAAAATAAAAAATTGACTTTTAATTTATCAATAATCTAATTAAAATTATATAATTAAAATGAAACAAAAAATAAATATTAATTTTTATATTTTTTTATGTAAATTAATTATTAAAAAATATATTAATTATACATTTAACCCATATTCTAAAATTATAAAAACCCATAAATTACCACAGCATCGTTGGAATCTCTGTTGGCAGATTCTGTGATGTTTGCAGATTCACAATAGATTGCACAGAAATTATGAAATTTTCAATGTTAATTTATTGTTAAAAAAGAGTAATGATAGGAAAGATAAAAGTTTAAAATGAAAATTCAAAACCAATAACATGGCTTATATCATGTCGTTAAATAATTAATATATATAATATTATAAATTTTAAAAAAGTTAATTATCAAATAATATAAGATTTATATTTTAATATTTTAAATAACATAATTTATATTATATTATTGATCTCAAATTTTAATTTCATTTATCATTATTCATCCAAAAAGAGAGCATAACAACTAATTAATTACCAAATAGCAAAAACAAGGAGGAAGGATTTCCATATTGCAAAAGGGGAGATGATGTGCCATGCGGAGGTGCCAGTCTGCACATTTAGAAAAGGGTAGTGCTATAGAGATAATTTTTTTATTTTTTTATACAATTTTTACATATCATTAATTTCACATATCATTAAATAAGTAAATGTATTTAATATCACGTGTTTTATATGAATTAAAAAAATTAAATATTTTAATAACATATCAAATTATATAAAAAGATGAGATAAAAAAATTATAAAAAAGCATTTCTTTTAGAAAAAAAAAAAAATTGAAAAGTTCCCAAACGTCCCCCATTTGCAATTTAGCGATCAATAAATAGTTTGTTAGCCCTAAAATAGGCGGAGGGACAACAGTATTATGTTTTTGAACAGTAGAAGAAGGACGTGAAGTTATAAAAACGTAGAGGGAGGACACGAGGTGAATGGATAGTATAAGGTTTAAATTGAACTTTTTTTAATAGTAGAGAGATGATAGTAGGTATTAGTTCTTGGTTTAATTATTAAAATTTATAATTTAAGATTTTTATTTTAAATTTAAATTTAAAAGTAATAAATTTTTAATAAATATATTATAAAAAATGTTTAATAGAAAAAGTACACTAATCATTATTTTTAAGATAATTAATTTTTCCCAAAAAAGAAAGATAATGATTAATTTAATTACACGGTTAAAACCTTAATTTGATCTTATACTTTGGTGAAAGTCCATTGTTGGTCCCTTCATTATAAAAGCTCTTTTTGTTCTTAAAGTTTATTTTTCTAGTCCTACACTTATTAAAATTTATTGAAGATTTTAATAATTTTAATAATATAATAAGATTATATGAAAAATTAATTTAATAAAAAATTATATGCATAGTGATTATCGAGAAATTTGAAAAGATATTATTTTAATTTAGATTATGTTTAGAATTGCAAGGAAGTACTGTAACAATGGCTTTTCCAATATTCTACTCTGAGATTTATTATATTATTACTTGACAATTATTTTGAAAAGAATCTTATATAGTGATATGATCACTAAATTATAAAAAATATTGATTAAATTAATTTAATTATAATAAATTATTGTTTTTATAAAGTGCTGTATAAAAAAAACACTGTAGGAAAACAACTCCAAATGCAACCTTAATCGACTTTCAACCCCTTAATAGACTTTCCTGAAAAGGTTCATTGTATATTTATTTGAGATTTTAGAGAGATTTTAAATACAAATGAGCATTTTTATGTACAAGCTGAGTATGAATTATATTTAGTATTTGAATTGAAATTTTTATATATAATTTTTTAGATTTAGTACTTGTTGAACTACTCAAAGATCTATACTTAGTACTTAACCAAACAAATACTAAATAACTTACAGGTATACAATTGTGTACTTGACTTAAAAAAAGATAAAGTCTTGCACGAATTGCCATTGCTATGTGTTTTGTGTGTTTAGATTAGGATTTGTTATTTATACAAGTTGCTATTGTTGTGCGTGATTTATTTGGCTTATAGGCCTTCCTTTGCTTTTATTTATATTTTTGTACTTTATTTATTTTATTTTTAAAAATTATTGTTATTAATTTATTATATAGATATTAAATATAATAAATATATATAAAATTTCAATTATATAAGTACAAGTAATAAATCAGTCAAATAAGTCAATTAAATAGATTGAATAAATAGTTTTGAATCATTGTATTTGTTACTTGAGTTAATACTTACAAATATGTTGTTTTCATAGTCATTATTTACCTAATTTTTTTATGGTTCGATTATGGTACTTACCCGAATGATAAGATACTTCTACGTATCGGGTGTATCTATGCCCAATGCACACCCTTGATCTTAAAAGGTTTACTAAGTATTTATTCAGAATTTATTGAAGATTTTAATCATTTTTATAATATAATATAAGATTAATAAGGAATTATAAGTATTATGCTCAACAAGAAAATTTGAAAAGGTATTAATTTAATTTTATTGGGATTCAACACCTTTATGGATTTCTTTGTAAGAGGTTCATTGTTTATTTATATGAGATTTTAGAGGGATTTTGAAAGACCCATTAGATATTTATTTGATATTTTAAAGGAATTTTAGGTTATGTTTAGAGTTACTTTTCCATAGCACCTCGTAAAAGCGTTAATTTATTACGATTAAATTAATTTAATTGATATTTTATATAATTTTGTGATCATATTAATGAATAAGACTCTTTTCAAAGTAATAACAAACAATAATATAATTTTTTTAGTAATAAAATATTAAAAACCTACAACTATAACACTTTACAATAATTTTAAATACACCTTTAAGGGGATTCTAAAAAAGCCATTAATTATTTATTCAAATTTTGTTAAAGATTTTAATAATTTTTATAATAGTAAAATTCATTTAAGGCTTTAATTAATGAATTTTTGAAAAGATCATTTACACTAACTTCTCATTTAAGGCTTCTTCGATTCGAGGACCACTTTATTAGGAAAATTTTTATTGGAAAAGTGAGTTAGTACTGCACGAAAAGTTACCAGGTTTTATAATAAAGTTTTGTTAAAATTTTTATTAGGTTATTAACTTTGTTATATTTGATAAGAAATTGAAATAAAGAAAGTTGCTAAGTGGTTCTTATTAGTAAAGTTATAAGGAAACTTTTTTCTTTCAAAATAGCTGAAAAAAAAATTTTGCAAGTTAAGAATTGTGTCAAGAAAAATAAATATTTAAAATGTCACTTTTATTTTTTTTATTGTAATATTAATGAATAAAAATACGTAAATA